TCCTTCACTGTACTTGACCTGCTAACTGTAGATCGTATCGAGTCTAGCTTGCTGTCACTTACTCTGCAGCCACGGAGTCACCAGAAGCCTGTCTGGGATCAGAACGCCACACATATTAGGACAAAGTCTAGTATGTCTGTGAAGATTCTTAGTCAGACGTTCCACCTTCATCCAAGAGGCTTCATCAGCTCTGACTGACAAGTTGGGAGTTCCACATACTGATATCCTGGAGGAGTCATTAACACCTGAGTTTCTCCTCAGGAAGATGAAACCACATCCACACCTAGCCACAAAAGACCCTAACGAACCCCACTGTGACAGGGGGGGGGGCGGGGGTGTACCATGGCCCAGAACCCCAGGTCAGCCCGGCCACCCGGCCGAAGCCAATGGCCACCGAACCGGCCCTACCGGGCGGCCCCACCACACTGCCTTCAGGCGGCCCCACCACAGGCCCCCACAGCCCCTGACAGGGCCGAAAACAGATCTGGCCCCAAAGTGAGGCAAATCCCCAGCCAGAGAAACCACAGAAGGCCCGTAGTCACCAGGCAACCAGGCAATGGAAAAGTTCCTGGACATTAGTTTTAAGGAAAAATGTTCCTGGAGCTTTTGGTGGAAAAGTGCCTTAAACAGTACACGAGGCAGCACACAGCCTTGTTGTTCTCTCGTGTTTTTCTGAATTAGTTTTTCAGTTAATTGATACTAATCACTTATGACTTTATGTTTTTCACACGTTAACACTCGGTCTCTGTCTGTAGGTGTCTCATTGTGGGATGAACAAACCCTGCAAGCAAACACAGTGGAGAGTCGTCAGCACAGCAGTGGGTTTGAAGTCACTGCTTCTGATTCTATTGAATCCAAGTCCTCTCTGCTGGACATTAATGCTTCCCTGAAGGCCAGTTTCCTGAGTGGACTGATTGAAATTGAAGGATCCGCCAAGTACCTGAATGACAAGAAGAAGTTCAAGAATCAGAGCAGGGTGACGCTTCAGTACAAAGTTACCACCATCTTCAAACAGTTGTTCATGACCAACATCGAATCCATGAGCCCTCAACAGATCGATGTCATTGAGAAGAGCTCTGCGACACATGTTGTCACCGGCATCCTCTACGGGGCAAATGCTTTCTTTGTGTTTGACAGTGAGAAGTTGGATGGCAGCAGTGTGCAGGACATCCAGAGCAGCATGTACGCTGTGATAAAGAAGATCCCCTCGTTTAATGATGATGGGAGAGCTGACATCAAGCTGACAGATGAAGAAAAGGCCATGACGGACAAATTCACCTGCAAGTTCTACGGAGACTTTATTCTTGATTGCAACCCTGCAACATTTACAGATGCAGTGAAGACATACGTACAGCTTCCAAAACTACTGGGAGAAAAGTATGAAAATGTTGTTCCACTGAAGGTCTGGATGATGCCTTTGAAGAAATTACATTTCAAAGCTCCCACGATGATCACTGGGATCAGTGTCAGACTCTTGAGAAAGATTCAAGATGCTCTGCAGGAACTGCATCATCTGGAAGCATGCTGCAACGATATCCTCGATGATGCAGTCGTCAACGCTTTCCCAAACATCCAAGAAAAGTGGAGCACCTTCCAGAAATTCTGCATGTATTTCAGGTCTGCACTGGAACAGACGATTGCTGAGAAGCTCCCCTCCATCAGGGCACAGGAAATAGGCGAGTGGGAATTACAAAAGGTCTTTATTGAGCGGGACAAGACACCTTTCAGTCACGAGAAGTTAATCAAGTGGACCGAAGACATGGGAAGAGAAGTGAACGTCATCAGGTCGCTTGTCAAGATGATGGAGGGAACAAAGATCATCTCAAACCAGTCCGAGCTGGACAGAGTGGTTCTAGATCCTGGAGTAGAGGACGTTCTCTGCTTTGTTTTCACCTCCCTGGAACCTGCTGACCCCCATCTTCAGGAAATGTCTGTGTACTTGAACTCAGTGAAGTTACAAGGTGCTGGGGGAGTCCTTCTACCTGCCCACGAGCAGTGGTTCTCCTCAGATGAAGTGATAAAAGAAATGAGACCGAAAGCCAGAGTTATTCATGACCTAGCCAAAGCTCTGAAGAACAACCGCCAACTCTGCTTCCTCGTGGCAGCGTTTGCAAACGAGAAACACAAAGGAGCGAGCATCTACCACTACAGGAGCTTCAGCCTGGTCACCGATGACTTCTCAAAGCCTGATGTCACTGATGTGAAAAACGTAAAAGACAGACGGGATTTAATCTGGTGTAAGTCACATTTTATTCGTTTGTTTTCCCTTTCTGCTGAAAAAGAACAGATCACTTCAGTCAAACACCTACTAAAGCTAAACAAGTAGTTTTGGTGTCTAATGTTAACCAGGTAGTTTTGTTGACTGAACTTAACTGAGTAGCTTTAGTCACTAAACCTTAACAAGGAGATTGGAAAGGAAACCATTGACAATGAACTGTGATGACGTTCAGGTCTGTTCTCTCCACCAGATGCCTGTGATCTGACCCTGGATCCGGACACTGCTCACTGCAACCTCACTCTGTCCAACGGAAACAAGAGGGCGACTCACGGAGAGAGCCAGTCGTGTACCGACCTCCCTCAGAGGTTTGACCGTGTGGTCCAGGTTCTGTGCAGAGAGCCGCTGACTGGGCGCTGTTACTGGGAGGTGGAGCTGAACATGGTCCGAGGTGCTGATGCTGCTGCTGCTGTTTGCTACAGCAGCCTACAGAGGAAAGGAACCTGTTCCCAGGTTGGGCTTGGATGGAACAACATGGCCTGGTCTGTAGGCCACAAGTGGATGCCAGGACCGACTTTCTATGCAGAACATCCGGGCAGTTCTGCCGATTACCCTGATCCCCCTTCTGGCTGCACCCGGCTGGGTTTGTACCTGGACTGGCGTGCAGGTACTCTGTCCTACTACATAGTCTCAGGAGACACGCTGAGCCACATTCACACCTTCCGCACTGAATTCTCTGAGCCTGTTTATGCCGCCTTCAAGCTCTGGACCGAAGGCAGCTGCATATTCTTGTGCTTGTAAAGGTGGTGCTGCATGATTCACATCAGTTTCAGTTCAGCTTGATTATAAAAGTGCAAACTTAAAGGGCCTCATTAGGCCATTTTCCACTGCAGGAACCGGCAGGTTGCCCGAAATCTTTGGGAGGAGCTTTCCTCGTAGAACCTCTTTCAGGGGACATAAAGCACAAATATTCTGAGCGGCCATGACGGATTGCCGTGCAAGGTAAAGACACAGTTGTCCTCTCTGACACCGCCCTCAGACAGGCTACTGGTGCTCATGACAACAATCATTAAGCCCTGCGAATAATTTAAAAGATTTAAAGTGTATTAATCAGCCAGAAGACAAATGAAATACAGGTCAGAAAATGAGCTGTGAAGTAGCCGTAATACCTGCTTCTGCCACCAGGTGGCCTCCTGCTGTTTGCTGATGGGAGGAGGCAGTCGCTTGGACTGCAGGCAGGTCCATGTTAAAAAAACAAAACAACAAGCCATTTATTCACTTTAATGATTAGTTCATTGGTTGACAACAACTCTTTGGTCAGTTTAAATCTTTGCATCTCGAATTCAGACCAAAAAAATCAACAAGATGTTGGATTCTAAAACAGAGACAGAAAAACTGGAAGATTTAGTTTCTCTAAATGTTTTCCCCGAGTTCCTGCACCGGAAAGATGTCTGTTGTGTAGCGCCATCATATTCTCACGTTTAATATAACCTTAATATAACTGTAATATAACCTTAATGTAACTCTGTAGTCGTCAGACAGGGGACAGGAATCCGGTCCAGAAAGCTTTGTAGAAGCCGATAAGTTGAAGGCCGGCGTTTGGTGATGTTCTGTGATGTTCTGAGGATGAAGGTTTGTTTGCTGCGTCAGAATGCAACCAGCGAGCTAACACGTGTCAGACAGTAAACTACAAACTGTTCATCAATGTGCAGATGTGTGCATGTATCACTGACTTGTTGATCACTTATCAAGTGTTCCCTGATAGATTAGCTCTTTGGCTGCTCATTGAAACTCTGAAATAGAATAAAAACACACAAGACTCTTGTATGTGACTGCATGTAAAATCTGTATTTCATGAATGCTCACGTTGTTGAAACCAAATAAAACCATCGTCCTGAAGCCATAAATAAAAACACACTGAACGCTTTTATCTCTGTTTGCTTCTCAGCTAACGAAGGAATTAGTTTATCTTTAAAACAGCAGAAGATGAGGATAAAAGCGACATCCTGCAGTTCACGTCTTCCAGAGATTCAGTTCCTGCTGAGTTCTGTCAGTCCGTTCACCTTTTCTGGGTTTTGCTCAGAAAGTCACCAAAATAACTGATCATCAGAACAGCTGATGACGTTCTGATCCGATGTCATGAAGTCTGTTGTCCCGTTAGAGGCAGGATTCATCACTGATCCATGTTCATCCGTCTAAACAGCAGAACTGGGCCCTGAGCTGCTGGTTCACATCCACAGACACACGGAACCAAAACGCCTCCGGTCAGACAGTGTGAGCGGCCGAGGTCCTGGTTCCACCTCCAGCTCCAGCAACATGCAGCAGAACCCAGTGAAACCAGAACAACATGAAAAATGGTTCCATCATTAAACTGGAGCCCCTGAACGCAGCACCAGATCTCCTGTGGTGCGTTCAGGGTCCTCAGCTTGTGGACAAACCTGCGCAGACTGTGAACACCTGGCGCACCGCGCAGGCGCAGTCCGCAGGTGCGCTCGATTCATGTCCCCACAGCGCGCGAGGCGGGCGGGCACGCATTTGAATCAGACACAAAACCGGATGTTTGTCTGTTCGAGGGAGAAATGACGAATGTTTCCCTTCGTTCCTGTTGTCGATGTTCGGTTTCGTCTCCTGCGGTCTCTCGCGTCCAGATGGAGCAGCGACAGCTCCGCCCCGCCGGCCGGAGCCTGTGTCGGGATGAAGCGCTCCTTGGTGCTTGTTGTTGGGGTGTCTGCTGGACTCTCCGTCTCCTCTGAGCATCAGATGCGTGTTTTTCCATCCGCTCGGAGCGCCTGTGTCTCCGGAGCGCGTCCAGAGCGGAGCAGCAGCGGGATGGAGGAGCCTGTCCGCCGGGCAGCGTCTGAGCCAGCGGCCGGCACACAGCGGTGATCCCCGGCCACAGCCCCGCAGGAGCCCCGCAGGAGCCCCGGTGAGTCCTCGGGCCTCCTCCGGTCCCCTCATGTCAGAGGAACCGGAATGAACACTTGAGATGTTCGGCTGGGTGTCTCCCTGTGTGTCCCGGTGCTGATGGGAGTCACGATGCGCTCCAGACGCGTTCACGTGTCTCACATCTCCAACATCTTCATCCTCTCACGTCCTGGTGCCTTTCTGTTGAAGTGCGACGTTCAGGTTCTGTTGGTTAAATTGGGCCTCGGATCTACTTTCTGGTGCTTCTCTACATTTCAGAGCAAATATTTTTATCAGACATCTCATTAGTCTGGATTGTGTTTAACCCACAAAGCTGCTTTTATGGAGTTTACATTTGAAACATGCAGGTTTCCTCTTCCTCCTCCACTCTGTCCGGCTGATGCTGGTCCCCTCAGTTGTCTCCGCTTCGTCTTATTTCTGAGAATAATTCTTGAAAAGCAGACTCTGCGCTGCTGACTTCATGCTGGTGTGCAGCTGCTGAGCTCAGTCTAACATCAGCTCAGAGGGAATCCAGAACAGAGTCACGTCACAGAATTAGTTTTTAAATAGAAAATCACTCAAACCGAGGAATCGACAGCTAATCGACTGTTCGCTGAAGCTGTGGTTTTAAATATATTATATTTTAAATTTTTTTGTTTATTTATTTTGTTTTTTTATTCATTAGTTTTTTTTTTATGTGGCTTTAAAAGCAAAGGAGATTACACACGACGACATTCCTGCTGCTCATATTTTTCAGATTTCCTTTGTTAAAAATAAAAATCAAACAAATGATTTTAAAAATACTTTAAAAAGAAATAAAACGTAATTCAAAAAAGTATTTATTTGTCTTTATATTTCTACTTTTATCAGCCTTTTCTTTTATGGATTCATTGTTGATTCATATTTCTTCATATCAACACATTATTTATTTTTTATTTCATTTGTTCTCCTTTTAATTTCCTCTTTTATGTTGTTGTTCTTTTATTGATTTATTTTGGTCATGTGACCTCTCACTGCTCCATACACATCTTTTTCTGGCACAAACACAAAAGACAATCTCTTGGTGATTTCTGACGTTGGGGTTCTGTTCAAGCCCGTCCAGGTACCAGGTGCGTCCTCCTGCATGGCCTCGGCGGCTGCAGGGTTCTGGGGTTCGGCCGCTTGCTGCTCGCACCCGAAACCGTCCAGAAGCGGCGGCCTGAAGCTGCTGAGACGCTGCTCGCCTCCGTCCATGTCGTCCGGCCGGAGGTGTTCTGGAGTGTCCGGCCTCGGGGGCGGAGCCGTGTCCCCGGGGCCCGTGGTGGCGGAGGAGGCGGAGCCCGGCGGCAGCGAGGCCAACCGGGAGCTGTTCGAGGCCTGCCGGGGCGGAGACCTGGAGCGGGTTCGCAAACTGGTGACGGCGAAGAACGTGAACAGCCGAGACATGGCGGGAAGGAAGTCGACTCCGCTGCACTTCGCTGCAGGTGAGACTCTGGTCCAGACCTGAGAGGTGGTCCAGTAAATTCTCCTCTGTTGTCTCCTGAGGGCTGAACTACGAAGCCATGGACACACCATGGAGACCTAGCTCCACAGCATCAGTTACCATGGAGACCTAGCTCCAC